GGGCCCAGCCAGGACAAAAGGAGGTCCCACAAAGCGCCTACACCGGCCGCATTTGCGGTCGGGGTAGACGACGGATGGGGCCCACCTACGAAGGCTATCCAGGCCTACACGAGATGAGGCAGGATAAAGAGGGATAATCCCCCTCGATCCCAAATCATTGAGGCCAATATCTAGCCATAGAATAATGGCGCGAGGTCAATTGCTAGCCATGGAACAATGACGCTGAACACAGCCTAGATATTAATTATTTGTATGTATGTGTTTAAAATAATTTAATTCAAATTGACTGGTGTCGTGCAATTGGATAGACTTCTGCTAAGAAGTGTCCTACACTTTAAAATCCTCGAAAATATTCTACTATAATTTTAGCCATATTACTTTAACTTGACCTAATACTTTTCCCGATCTTGATGTTACTTCTGATGACAAATTATCTTTCAATTCGCATATTGAAAAAATTATATCTGAAGCGTATGGCCGTATGGTTTCATACACAGAACAGTAAGATTTTGTTCAAATAAACTCTTTAAAAACTTTGTATTATATTATTCTTTTGTTTGATCTAAGCTGGAATATGCTGCACCTGTTTGATCTCATTATAATTTATTTGTACAGAATATCGAAACAGTAGGTACAAAGAAAGTTTGTCAAATTTCTTAATTTTGAAACAGTCCACCTATTGGTTTTGCACAATCTGAATTAGATTAGATCTACATTCGTTGAAGTCTTGATTTAAGGGGCCGTTGCCAGTTATTCTTATTTAAAATTTTGAATAACCAAATCGACTGATTGGATCTTTTGGATATCAATTTAATTTTTACGTCCCAAAGACCAAAGGGACCCTCCCTCTCTACTCCACATACAAATATTGTGTAAATCAATTAGATATTTTCAATTCCAGCACTAATAATATAAAATCATTAAATTTTAGCTGTGTTTTTATGCTATTTTTTAAATGCAATTTTTAACAATTGATGTTCTTTTTATATTAATGATAAAATAGTATTTTTCTTCAAACGTCATATAACCTTTCAACTTATGCGACATTACTCAGTAATATTGTCATTTATCATGCCTAGGAGTATAAACACATTATAGTACTATGAATTCAATTTTAATAATTTGTTTTTATTTTATATTTATTTTTACTATTTATAGTAAAAGCACAATTATGAAGACTTGTATCATTTAAGAATCCTTCACTTCTTGCGATATCAGTACTCATAATAATATTTCTTAGTCACTGTCAAGCGACGCGACGTCAAATTTTAAATATTTGTTTTGATAGATGCAAGTACGTGTCTATGGTAACGATAAGTACATGTATACAGTTAAATAAGTTAAAAATTCGATGTTACAATCTTCCTTTAAAATTCGTTTTTTTTTTAGTTATTTTAATCATTTTACCCATAATTTATAACGCTTGAAGAAAAAAATAGTATATGACGTTGGGAGAATAGGATACTTTATGATTGTCCGACTCACTTCGTTCGTCAGACTTTCCATGCTTAGCACATAAAGTATCACTTATTCTCCTAACATCATAATATACTATTATGCACATATTTTTTCATATTATTGTATATTTACTCAGTGTTTTTAATATTCATCTGTAATATTTTTTTCTCTTCATCTTCCTGTTCTGTACTACCTGTCGAACAGAGTATCAATAAATAATAATAAATAAGGAAGTAAATAAATAAATATGGTGGGATTTTATTGAAAACCCATAAAATAATGAAGGGTCTAGGTTAAAAAAAAAATATGTCAAGCAAACTCGAATTAGACTTAACATCTTCATCTTCATCCTTGTATAGTGACACTCAAATTTAGTGAAAGGGAATAATGTATTAAACTGAAATTTATTACAGGAGGAATACATATATCAGATTATAGCTTGTGTGAGTAACATGCATATCTTGTGAGTTCCTTTTGTCAAATCATTTCGGGCTCTCAACGTATAGAGGGGGAATAGAGTACTTTTTAAATTTAATGTAAATAAACAAAAATTAGAGCGAAAAAATTAAGAAACCTTAACAGGTTTACTAAAATAAATAGAATAAGTTTCATTACTTAGAGAAATAAAAAATATATAATTTTTTATATACAGGGAGTATCTAAATAACACCGAAAAAATGTAAGGGGCGATTCTCTGATGAATATTAATAGGGGTTTTTGGTATAAAATTTTTTGAAAAAACCCTTCCCTGTTTCCTCCAAAAATTAAAAAAAAAAATCTTTTTATATTCCATATTATATTTCAAGCTAAAGAAACCACAAACTTGGTGAACATTATCTGTCATAAAAACTACTCTTTTTGAAATTTTTTAACCCTGAAGTATTTTTGTAAGGGGTTGAAATAATCAACTCCTACATTTTTTTTATAATTTTTTTTCGATACAATTTTTTCCTTTTAAAAAATATGTCTAAAAAGTCCCATTAATTTTTTTGATCTCTTACAAGTTTTTGTGAAAAGTTAAGGATTTATGAGAAAAAAAATAAATGTATTGCAATGCAACAAAATTTTATCTAAAATAAATTATAAGAAAAAATGTCACAGGGGTTAATCATTTTAACCCCTTACAAAAATACTTCAGGGTTGAAACAATTTCAAAAAGTAGTTTTTTTTGACAGATAATGTTCACCAAATTTGATTTCTTTAGCTTGATATACATGGATAAAAAAAGAAAAAAAAATTTTTATTTTTGGAAGGGGGTAACTTTTGAGGGGAGCTTTTTCAAAAATTTTTATACCATAGATCCCTATTAATTTTCATCAAAGAATCGCCTCTTACATTTTTTCGGTGTTATTTGGATACACCCTGTATAGACACCGTTCAGCTAGTTTGAATACAATACAGACAAGTGAAAGTTCACAGTTAAATAACTAGAAAAATATAACTATAAATACAAATAAGATATATCATAATTTTCTTTGAATTGTATTAGTTGCTCCATATGTTCACAAAATCTGATGGTATTGTAAGTATATAAGCTTCATTTTCACAGTTTGCTAATAATAATTGTTTAACTAAGTCCCACCTTGCAATTTTTTTTGTAATGGTTATTCTTCTATTTTCTTCATTTCCCTGGCTCTTTGACTTCAAATTTAGTTTTGCTGCTAAACTAAATTAAAATTTCAATATAAACCCCAAAAAAGAAGTAAGACATCAAAATTAGTGTTGTAAAATGCTTGAGAATTTATTTCTGGAGAATTTTCATCGAGGACAAACGAGAATATGAGCGTAATCGAAAAAACCTGAGAATTTATGTGTAATTATTTTAAAATAAAAAAACAAGAAATATTTTTGTATTTATTGAAAATAATAAAAGTTCTCTATTCATGTAAATTCTGAACATTTTTAATATTATCCAAATATTTCAGAAACGCTCTTTAGCATTTCATTTTTCTCAATATTTACAGAAACAATATTTAAAAAGTAATTATCTATTAAAAGTTTCTCTTTATATTGATAAATTTAATAGATATTCATGCAAGCAAAGGAGACTGCTGTGATTATTATTTATTACTGCCAATAGTTTAAGTAGGCATAGCTCATAAAACTAATGTCCAGGGAAGACTGACAATGATAGAGAATACAATAGAGCAACTAGAACCAGAAAACAAGTGATGCCTCCTTTTTCATCTGCATCTTAATATTTTCAAGGTAACATTGAAAAACTTCTCAGCTTTACAACACTAAACATATGTGACAATTTAACCTTTTAATATAGAGCCTTCATAAATAATTACAAGCCATGTGGCCAGTAATTTTGTTTGTAGAAGTAATTTTATTTCCTTCATGTCGACTATCAAATTTCGGTAAAATTAAAAATTATTAAAATAGATCAAAATTAAAACGCAGTGCTCTGTTTCACTGTTTGGCTGTGATTGGTGTAATTTTTCACGAGATACTATTCTACCAATTAGCAATCATATTATCTCAAGAGAGAAGAGAGATCTCAAGCGTAGACACAACAATTTGTCATTCTATACAAATCATTAATATTGATGATGCCAATATCTTGGGAATTTTCGTTATCAGTACGAATCGTGCAATGTTGGGGTGCCTAAGCTCGGCAGTCACGTGGTTTGTAAACATTTATGAAAGTTCTGTACAACGTAATATCTATACTCACTTGTGGATATCAGCTCTTTCTTGTTTAGTAAAACCTGGATCAAAAGCTAAAGTTGTCACTTTGGTCGAAAGAGCAAATTCTCTCAAAATGTTATTAATTTTTGTCATAATACTTTTTCCACCTAAACCTTCTTTTGTAACACTTTGAGTCATAGTTTCGGCTACTGTTTTCTCTGTTCCTTGTTCATTTATTCCCAAACCCTTCCCTCCCCAGCCCATTTTTAACATCATTTTATGTGCTTTACTGCCTTCCATTCCATTAAATGTTGGTGATTCGGCCTGTGCTTTATTTAGATCCTCTGTGGATATCTCTTCATAATTTTTTTTCTTACTAATAAAAAAACACGTTTTTCTAAATTTATCCAATGCTAATTCACACAATCCATTTTTAGCGGCTTGCTTATTTAAAAATTCACCTTCAGCTATAAATTCTCCATTTATTTTTAATTCATAGGTTTGCCTGAAAAAGGAGGGACATATATTTATTACTCAGATTCATTTGTGTGGATCTTATGCTGTAAGACTTACGGTTGCTTTCCAGATACTACAGATAGTATTCCATTTTTAACAGACTGAATGGCATTTTGAATAATAACGGGAGCACTATCTCCAGTGGTTTGCAAGAAGACCAAAAGTCCATTAACTCCTTCTTGTGATTTGACAGCATTAATTAATTGTATTGTCTTAGCTTCTCGAGGAGATTCAGGTATTGGTGATATTTCCTCCGTAGGAGTTTCGGAATATATTTGTAATCTGGGTTCCTGTCCAAATAATTGAAGACCAGAAGAATTTTCTGTTGGGTAATACTGCCTTTTATGTTTGTCATATGGAAGTTCTCTATGTCGATAATTCGTTTTAAAACATTTGTTGACAAAATTATGATAGTTTCTTTTGCCATAATTAGAAGCTACATTAATCTCATGGATGTTTCCAATAGTATTTGAATGACTTTGGAAGTTACTGTTACCGGAATATGGCGTTAGGATTTCTTGATTTACATTGTTAGTAGGCCTTACAATATAAGGCCACTGATTTCTTTGTTTACTGAAATGTCCCTGTTTTGGGAGAGGCATTCTATTTCTGCGGTAGTTATTACTTTCCATTTTATTTATTAAATACTAATAAAAAAATCAAAATGTACCTACATCCTCGTTAATTTTCAAACACAACCTTTGAATGTGATTTTAATAAATTAATTACTGATTAATGATTAATCGATTAATCCCATAGACCTTTATCTACATATAAATATAAACTTAACTACTGAACCGGGGCGTGTTCTTTTATTCAACAATGGATGAAAGCGCTTAATTTACGCAAACTGTCAAATGACGTCAACTAGTGATGGGCATAATCGACCAATTTTGATAATCGAGT